GAGGAAAAGATCAAAGTTTTATGCAAGTTGTTGATTTACCAAACACAGATACGTTCTATTAGACGCGATGTCGAATTCTCGACCGAGGGATTCGTAACGACGGATAAGTCGTAGGCAAATCGAAAGTAACGTTCCTATGACGAGCAACACGATTTGCTCGATCGCGAATCGAAGCGCTCGAGCGTCGGTAAACAGAGTTTTACGTCGAGTTAACGAAATCGTGGCCTGTTATGGTTAAACGGACGCGAGTCGATTTTCCGACGAGGTGAATCCGCTTTGTCGCCGAAGCATCCGAACTTGATTTCCGGCCAATCTTATTTTCGAATTGACGTGGGATCGGTCGATGATAAAGCGCAAACAAAACTCTCGACCGCTTTGTCGGCGTAATTAAAGTGAAGCACGTTCGCGCGGCTACACGTGCATGCGTATCTCGACGAATCGATCCTCGCGGCATTCTTCTCGGGGAGAGGCAAAGAGGAACGGGACCGCCGCTTTCCACCACCTCCACCGTCGCCTCCGTCAGGACTCTGGCGAAACTTTAAGCTCTACTTATACCGTCAATCACCCAATCAAGCGGCAGGATTTCCAAGTTAAATCCTACTTAAATTTTAAGTAAGAGGGTTCAACGACGGCTTGCCTCGCGCTAGAGAGAATATGCGCGCGCATTTTGAACGCCGAGCCGATAATCGCGCTACGAAAATGCCATTCTTCTTCCATCGGTATCCCCTTAGAACGCACAGACCTCTTGGTTCTCCTCCCTCGATCCCTCCCTCTATCGATCTATCGACCGTCCCATTTAAACGTACCCATAGCTAAATAAGTAAATTCGACAGCCACTTTTGCGAACTTTACTCGCATTCGACAGATAAACGTATTCGCATTTACATTGTTCCGCGAATATTCGTATTTAAGTGGTCTCGAACGTAATCAGCGATATAAGATATATCGTGACAATTGAGATACGTCGTAAGCATAGCGTCGTAAGTATTTGCGAACGGGTGAATTCGATGGCAGCGTTAAACGGTCGGGTAAATCGACCAACTTTGAATTTCGTCTAGTCCCTGTAGAATATCACTGAGAACCGGCTATATAATTGGCTAGCCGTCGGCAGGGGACGTGAAATACCGTGTTAAATCAAGCCGAGAAGGTGAGATCGCCGATCTTGGGGCAAAAGTCTCGGTCGGAATTCCGAGATAGCGCGAATCGGCTTCGAGAAACGCGTTTCTAACGACATCTTCGTGTCGAAACAGATCGCGCGTAAACGTCCTAACCTGACGGGTATTCGATGTTCGCGTCATTGGCGACGAGTCTAATTTCACAAAGGGCGAAAGCCCGTATCGAGTAGCGAAAATCTCGACGACTAGAGGTAGCGACGACTCACGATAACCAGATCCTGGTTCGAGTCCTCGTAAGGGTGTTTATATAGGTCCACGATTATCGGGGAAAGTTTTCGATGCCGTGATAATAGCGAACCGTGTCTGTTACTCCAAAGGTATTTGCCTGTATATCGTTTCGTTTGACTATGTTTTTATAGTTGTTCGGCCATTGAGGTAAACCGACAAGCACGAAATATCCTATTCGCGAACGATCCACGGCCGTCAGAATGAAATATAGAACGACGAATAAACGTTCCTGCGTATACCATATGATGCAACCATCGGCGTCGCCTCTGTCAAAATCTTATGGTATTTTATGGTATATGAGCGGCGAAACGTACGCCAGTTTATCACGCGACGATAGTTGGTCGAACGGCGAGCTAGTTTACGAGAGAAACGTTGTAGTCAGAGTGGCGAGAAAGCTGGCGCAGATTATGCGCGTAAAGGACGGACTTCGAGGCAAAAGGCAAGAAACAGCCGCGAAAATGAACAGTATTTTGTTGTGCAAATGAGAACTTAACTCGACCCGTTGACTTTTTCTGCTTATCCAGCCTTTAAAGCGGCGCGCCGCTCAGCAACGGGCCGTGCTCTTTCGACCTTACCATTTCCACCGAGATAAGGATTCTGCATTTCCCGTCCTGCTTTCCGTTAAGCGTACTGCATTAGTAGCGGAAATTACAATTATTATTTCGACTCGATCGATCTTAACTATACGGGATAACTATCGCGATTATGCGTCGAATTATTCGCTGATCGCCCGATCGTCCGATCGACGCGAATGCACGACAAACATCCCTAACGTTCTCCAGCCGTTGCAATTTCTACCACTGGCATCCGCGTTCCTGCGAGTCTCGTTTGCCCTTTACGCGAGAGGCTCGATATATCCGAGCGTACAATGTCGATACACCGGCGCGCATCGATAACGATGCCGGATAATGGAGAGAAAAGATCGTTCGTCGCGTTATCTAGTTCACACAGGCTAGACGATCCGTACGGCTTGGAATGTAATAACAGGCAACGCCGTACACTCGATATTTATCGCGGTAAAAGCCACCACGGGAATCGATAATGACGAACGTTCCGCATTCTCTGTGCGCACCAACGCCAACTCTTTTCGCCGCAGAGAGAAGAGAACTCGCACCGGGCTTCCGTTTCGTTTCCTTTTGCCGTTTTCATCTCGACGCCAGATCTGTACTTCGTTAGGATATCGAGCGAATTACGTCGACCAACGGTGCCGTTCCCTACCATGCTTTTCCATTATGCGGAAATCTTTGCCGTACGCACGTACTATTATCGTTGTTTCCAAACACGGTGCGTCGTTTGCTCGACACCCTTGCGATAACTCGTTGTCCGAACATCCTCCAAACACCTGACCGATTTCGATCTACCAACTCCCTTCGTTCCGCCGCTCTTTGGATAGTCTCAATGCCCGAACGAAATAGCTCAGCCATTTGGCAAGCAATTTTCTCTCGAAACGACGCAAGGAATACACGCGTTTAACGAACGTCGCGAAATAAACAACGTTGTTGCGCCGTTCGAATACCGCACCTCTCTCCTCCTGTAGCGTTCGATGAAACTTACTTTCTTAATGAATCTTATTCTCTAAAATCGTGCTATAGATTGAGTAAACGTTAACGTTCGGCAAATGGACACCGATTGGATCTCGAGATAAGTTGTATAAACGTTGGAGAAAATCTGTCGACGAATTAAAGCCTTCGCAGAGGGAAACAGTCGCGAAGCAAATAGCGGCGACCAAGCAGAGGAACATCGAAAAACACCGGAGGAAGTAGGAGAAAGAAATTAGCGGACATGTCGCGGCAAACGAGTATTCGTAGCGACGTTCCGCACGTGTAAGAAGGAAAAAGAAAAAAGAAAAAATCGACGTTACAGCGGGCACGCGTTGAAAGAGGTCCGCGCGCGTGCGACAATGAGCGTGCATGACCGCCAGTGTGAGTTTCGAGTCGAGCGAGCAACGACAATGAAGCACATCCGCGAACGAAAAAGATTCGACTCGTTCGTTGGCATTCGTTACGGCGGAAACGAGCGCGGACGATCCTTCCTAAAGAATGGCAATAGCGGGCTACGTCTGATTTCATTAATCATAAGCATCGAGAGATATCCGATAGGAGGAAATGAAAAGCGTTCTGTCACGGTCTACGTCGCATCCTGCGCCAAGTGCTAAATATACGATGTGCTCATGCTGTACACCGGCCCTCTCCGAACATACGGCTCACAATGCATCAAATTGCATCTGCCTTTGTACAATCGTCACGCGCGTTGCACCTCGCTTCGATTGTTCGATACCGGAAACAAACTGCGTTACCGTCACCTGCTGCCACCGCTGCCGCGCCACGCTGCTGCCCCTTCCGGCCAATTTTCGGACCTTTTTTACGCATCACCTGATTACCCTGCACGCAAATTGCCAAGCAGCCAGCGCCACTTTGCTTCGAACGCGACAGACGCACCTACTAAGTTGTCACAGGCCGATACGGCTCGAAACTATGTACGATCGCTGCCACGAAATTGATTCGACGTCGCGTTTACAGGTCGGCAGGTTTACACGAACACCGATTCACCGTGATCCGTAATAACAGATTTCTCCTTCCTTAAATTCGATATTCAAACATGGCGATATATAACAAAGTATCGTTATTTACTTACGTGTATAGATATATTTGTACCGATTGTACGTCGTATCCTACGGAATAAACTCGCTACACCCCGAAATCCCAGATCCTCCGCACACTCGACAACGTTGTTTGCTCGCACTTTGAAAACTACCAAACGACTATTTGCGAAAATAAAGTTTACTATAGAACGAGAGTTAGCGACAAACAACGCAGGTACGCCAACCTATACACGAGCGCCAGTGTATGGCAACGAGCGGGAAACGAACCACATGTCCAGGCAGTTGATTTCTCGCTCGACGATGTGAAAATATTCTCGCGACAGGCGATATAACGAGAGCAACGAACGGCATCGTACAAAGAATGAGCGAGAATTCTTACTTGGTCCGAAAACTGGAAGCTGGTACACGTTTCTTGTCGGAGCAATCTCGGCATACGTTGTAACAAGGGCGTAATTTGTATACGCCTTGGAGCGCGTTTACGCGTGAAAGAAACTAACACTTAGAGCAGGTTGAGCTCGTACCACGAGGAACGCGTGGTAAAAGTACGCGACACAGATATTCAGACGGAACGACGGGACGTGATTTTTCTCCGCGATTCGAACGAAATATCGCGTTTACCCCTTCGGATTCACGCGTGCCAGACGACTGCAGATTGCAGGTGGCGTTAAAAGATTCCGCGCGAAAACAGCGACATCTCGGACGGCTGTGACAACTCCACGGACAAAAGTATCGTAAATTACATAATAACATCGACAACCGAGTACCTCGTATTTTCGTGGATACTGTTTCACCCGACTACCATAGCTGTTTAAATTTATCGTTTCGCGGGAATAATTAATCAGTCCTTAATTTAAATTTATGAAATAATACGTTTCGTTAGAGGCGAAACTCGAGGTCACGTCAAATATTTATTTTCGCCCTTTCCATAAATTTTCGAACGAATGCGAAGCAACACAACGTTCTTTTAGTAATTATTTATGCGCACTTTCTAGACAGAAAATCAAGAACGTGTCCGTTCTCCGATTCGCTGTACCGTTATTTAAAACCGTACCGTACAAAAACCGTGCTATATTCGCGTCATCTTGCTTAATCGCAACAAACTCTTTCCTAACGAATGTCACGCTTAACGTTATGTCGCGATATTTTTGCCAGCGATATTCCGGTAACGGATATCGCGGTATCGCGTTACAAAACCGATGCACGCGATACATCCTTTTCCGCGCGTAATCGACGAAACGTTTTAACGCAGGTAAAACGCATCGTAAAAATATATGAGCCGATAAACGGGGCAACGGTGTTTACGTTAAGCGAAAGTTTATATGGGATGAAATCGGCAACGAGCTACTTCGTCACGCGAGACTCGCAGCGTCGGGAAACCACGGAAAGAAAGGTAAACAAGCGGAAAACGAATTCGTATTTAGAATCGTTGTGTCCGAAAAGTGAGAGGTCAGGGCAGAAAACGATCGAGAACTCTTTTCGACTTTAATAACAAGTCCCCTTGTTGTCGTTGTCGTTGTCGTTGTCGTTCTCGTTTATTCGTTCGTTCTTATCCCCTTTGTAGCCACCTCCCTTTTTTTAACTTTCGAGACGCCGAAACTTTGTAGACGTCGAACGGATACGTTTAAAAGGGACGCAAATAGAGTTGGACGGTTTATCCGATTCTCAATTATCGGCGTTCATCGATGGAGGAACGATGAGAAAGAAAGAAGAAAATACGTTCTCCGCCGATATCCTTCTTTTCGTTTTAACCAACGAGAAGGCTTTTCACTTAGCACCGACTCGAACCAGGGTCCCCGAACGATTTTTCCCGATAGACCGAGTTCGGTCGACGACTCGAAGGCAGAAGGAATAACGGGCCGACACGCAGCACGTACTCGACGAAGGTGGAAAGTTGCGTGCGTGAACGGAATTAAAAATAGCGGTCCTAAAGTCGGTATCATATCGAGTAGAGAAGGGTAATAATGGAGAGGGTCGATAGGAAGACGAGTTTCACCCGTTCACGGTGACCGACCGTCAAGATTCCATGCGGAGCTCCTCTTTTTCTCGTTTAATCGTTCGATAGGATCCACCGCGCCGATGTAGCGTGCCCGCAATTTTGATTAAACCGCGCATCTCGGTTCGTACTAATCCGAGGGAAAATTTTCCAGTTGGACGAAAAGTCTTGTCGTTCGCGAGTCGTCTATGATTATCAAAGAGAATTCTCCCCTTCCCCCCACCCCTACCACTCGCCCGAGGTTCAAACAAGAAATTCCAAGAAAAACACTGTATCTGTATCGTAAATCTGTAAACAATCTGTATCGTAAGAAAAAAACCGTCGGAGGGAAGCAAACTAGAAAGAATTACAAATGACGTAATAGACAACGACCTGTGGTACGGAGCGACGTTAAACTTCCCAATTCCCGTCTAAATTCCCATAAACCAGACGCGATAAGATTCCGGCATCGCGCTCGGCTGGTAGTCGTCGAGCACGATCGCTCCGTTCGATCGGAATCTTATTGTCAGCGAAGGATAGTGGGTGTCGTAATGGAACAGATCGGGTGTTGAAAACGGAGAACGAGGGGTCAGGGGGGCAACGTGGCTGTTACAGCTAGGGTTAATAACCGATATATCTTGGACCGAACCGGAACCGGATTCGCATTCGTATCCGACGAAATGCCAGTATATACGTATACGTCGAACCACTTACCAATCGAAATCGTCACGATTCCGTCCCCTCGTGGCTGCATCGAATCACCATCGATATCCGTTATAGTCCCGAAGCTGTACGTAGTATACCGTAGAGTATCCTCCCGACTGGTAAGCAAATCACAGCAACCGAGAACGCTTACGTATTCGATCCTTGGTCTCACGTACGACACTCGTTTTATCGTCATGTAGCAAGTAATCGTCACATGAGCGCGATCCTCGTCGGCCACACGGAGCCAATGATCGAGATCGAGCTTGTTCGGTGGGCGATATCGCGCGGATCCGACATTCGACGATGTCACGGCTACCGATCGGAAAACGCACGCGTGTTACCGCGTACGAATCGAACGAAGCGAACGTCCGTCGATCGCGAGCACAAGCTTTACGGGGGCGGAAAAAAAAAGTCTCGCGAGGGACAACGGAGATCCCGAGCTCAACGTCCGCGTAGCGACTGGCGCCCGACACCTCCACCCTTCCGACAACACCCCAACCACCGAGCGCACGCGACAGACAAAGAGCGACTAAGCAGCGCGAGCGGAGCGATTGAGAAAGCTGCCACGAGAGGCGCTACCAGCGGGACGAGGCAAAGGGTGGGGATTGGCTGGCTGGTTGGCAGGAGAGCTACCCTACGCTGACTAGGCCGTGGCAGATAGAGAGGGGCAGTCAACGGAGAGAAACCGCTAGTCTCGCCCCTACTTTCCCACCGACTCTTTCTCACCCTCGCGCTTCTTCCTTCGCTCTTTCGCCCCTCCTCGAGCCGCTTCGTCCGCTCGCCGTTTCGCTCTTTCCTACGTGCTACCTATCTTACCTTTTCGCAATTTTCCTTATTGGCATAAGTAAATCGATAAGAATTAAATTTTACACGAGCCAGACGGTTGACACTGTCGTTACGCGATTAGCGTCGTATCGATTTAACGAAACGCGTTTCTTCGTCCTTTTTTTTTGGCGTGTGTGTTTTCTCGCCTCCTGTTTCTCTTTTCGCTCGTTCCTTCTATCGCGTTTAATTGTTTTTATCGATGACAGACTGCACGCAGTCCTGCGAATGGATAATGGTAACGTAATTGGCTATCACAAAGTCAATATCGTGTTCGTTTAACGAAATTCCGCATCCCTGCTTCCTGCACCCCTCTCTCTCTCTCTCTCTCTCTCTCTCTCTCTTTCTCTTCCCTGCCCCACCCCCACCCCCGCCTTCGCTATCTACCTCTGTCTCTCTCGTTCTATTTACCACTTGCAACGTTACAGTTGAAATTATTTTGCAGGCAAAACGAAACGGCGAAAAATGAAACTTTGCACGATCTGACTAATTAGTAAGTCGATACTATCGATGTCGCTGATATAACAAAGTTTCGTTTATCGCGAAAACGCGATGCACGCGTTCCTGTCTTTTCTCTCTACGTAGTTCTTGCTCGCTCCGTATAGTGACCAGCGTCTTCGCAAAGCGAGAGTGCGGCTGCGCGCGGTCCTAGATTTCGTCTCGCCTCCTGATTTTTCGTAATAAAAACGTTTGTCTTGGCGAGCGACTCGGCTCGCGTATCTTTCGGCGTGGCGTGCATTACGGGTCGCACATGCTCCTTTATTCCTCGCCACTCGCGTAGACGCTCTCGATTTACACATTGGGAATGCAAGGTTCGTTCGAGCGATTTACAGCGAGTATGAAATCGGACGGGAAAGTAGGCCAACGGATCGTCGATCTTTCGTATCGTAACGTCTGTCGTCGTTCGTGGTCGTCATTGGAAATTAAAACGGTAGGGTGGCCGATGCACGACGTTACCGCGTTTCAATTGAAAACGCTCGAGTTTCGATGGCTGAGGGAAATTTCGAGACAAACGCTTCCAGCGACGAACATTCTCCGTACGAGAGGGAAAAGTCTCTTACCGGAAGAAAGGAACGCTCGCGATCCTGGTGACTGGCGGACGTCAAAGGCATACCTTCGTGATACGAATGCACGTTTCAATAATACCGTTTTAAGGGAATACTCCGCGAGAGACGAAAACTCGATCCGACGGAAATATAGAAACTCGTTTAACGATACTCACGGCAGAATGCCCGACGATATGTTACAGAGAACACCGTTTCGAAACTCTTAATCGAGACTAGAACGAAACATAAATTTATCCCGTTTTCAAAGAGCGAACAACTTCATCGCGATAAACTTCATTAAGGGCGCCTAAGAAGATTTTAATGGAAACTTGTATCTGCAGGACGAGAGCCCGCTAAGATTTCTCGCTACAAGGAAACGTACCACGTGGCGAACGGTACGGACGATATTTCAACCCTCTTCACCCCGGCCTCGGTTCAATCTCTGTTCTCCCTGACCCTGTCTGTCTGTCTGTCTGTCTCTCTCTCTCTCTCTCCCTCTCTCTCTCTCTCTCTCTCTCTCTTTCCCTCACTCTACTTCTTTCTTCTCCGCCGTCATTCTAGTATGAAACACGAAGAAAGGTAAAATAGCTGAAAGGGTTTGCTCTGAAGCAGTTCTTAAAGAAGCAGCGCTTGGAGTGGAATGTTAAGTATCAGCGACGTTTAAAAGTTTGCATTACGGGAAGGATATCGACATATTACAACGACGTGTAAGGGAAATTAATATGTGAAAATGTTGTTAGAGGAGCGAATCGTTTTTACGATATTTAGATGATTCGATAGAAACGATCGTAAACGAATACGAAGTATATTTGGTCCAAAGCCGTGACAAGTGGTTCGACTAAGTTTGGGGTTCGCGTACTTTCGACACTGACGGTCGCGTAATCGCGCTTCTAAAAGCGGAAGAAAGATCCGTCGTTCCTTTCTTACGGTCGACCGTGTACTTTTTCTCGGACAAAACGCAGACCCCCGGAATGTAATTAACTTTTAACAAGGCAAATGGAAAAATTGTGCTGCTGAAAAATTGAATGAAAAACGTTTCGAATATTCGCGAAAATAATTTTTCGAGCTCGTGCTACGCTCGCAGATAGGAACTGGCCAAATAAGCATACAAATTGTCGGGCCAACGATTGCTAAAATTATAAAAAAAGGAAGGACGAGAAAAAGGGAAAACGCGTCGTGTGTTACGTATGTACGTATCTCCATTATAGTTCTTGTTTCCGAAGTAGTTATCTCGGGTATGCAGATGAATATGTATTTTAGTACTTTGAGCAATTCGGGGTGAAAAGCTGTTCCGGGGAACTTTGTGCTTACGAACAAGCGTAATATTAGCCCTAAATGTTGAAGCTGCAACTTCGAAATAACAATAAACGAAAGTTAAAAGGGGTTGGCAAATGAATATTCGTAAATGAGAAGGTAAATGAGTGTCGTTGTTGCGCGTATTTCAACGAATAACGAAAAAAACTGCTTACCTGCAAGTTACCCTTTGACAAAACACCATAGACACGTTGTTCGCGGGCCACGTTTATGTACGTGAAATAGCGCTTGATAATCATTTTATATGCGCATAGGAAAGGAACTCGTTTCGTAGGAGCTAACGAGACCCGCACGCGATCCGACTATATTTAGACAAAGTTCTTGGACCGTTAGCGAAATGTTGCGGCGTTTTGGAAAATATCGCTTGCAAAGGACCAACTTACCCGGAGACCAACGGGACGCGTGTTAACCGCGCATCGACATCCGTAACGTTTATTTCCACGGAGAAGCGTTAAAAAAGTCAGGAATCGAGACAGTGGCGTGCCCGGAATACAAAGACTCTTCCTTGCTAACGAAATCCATCGGATCTGGATGTTATCGATTAGCGTTCCGTTCAAACGTATAAAGTCATCCCATATCCAAACGTCCTCTGCAACTCAAACAAAGTTTCGTTTGCTGGAAAAGCAAAGTTTCATAAAAATCGAACTGTAATTTGTTGGAAGAAGCCGAATGGAAAAGCTTATCGGAAGAAATATATTTTAGCTACGTGTTATGAAAAATTGCCGAGTAAGTAAATAGACGTTCGAGGTAACGAGGTAACGACGCGAGGTTCGAATTCGGTAAATTCTTTGTAACTGAATCGGGCTGAATCGCTTTGACCAAATCATTTTTATATTTATCCATCGCGACGGCTTTCCGAGCCTCGTCCCTAGGATATGCGTTTTAATCTCGTTCGAGCACCGTAATCGGCGAAATATTCCTTCTTATCGCGCGCTGCTGCATTTCATATCTGCTTTTTATCGCGAAAGTGTCAAACGCAAATATTAAATCGAACTGACAATGAAATATTTCGCGTAATCCCTTTTACAAGTGACGTCCACTGTTTGTCATGGAAACGAAACAGATTAACAAAATTGTTTGCTTCATTTTTAGTCGGATACGTTTAAATTTGTTCTATTCGACGAAATGATCTTCGAAAAATTGGACGCGCGTCACGCGTCAGAAATGAATATACCCGCGGAGCAATTTGCTTAGCAACGTGCCGTTTATTTCCAGAGTGGCGCTCGTCATAGGAGAACACGGACGCAAAATTTACCAAACTTTCTCAACGGCCATCGGCTGTAATCGAGTTGCGGCAGGACCTGGAGCATAGGTTTCCGCGGCTCGTGCATACGCTTCTTCGAGTTCGAATTCATTTTCAACGCGGTGGGTTGATATTAAGAAAGTGGCATCGTATTTCGTCGAGATAATGCGCGTTCCAGGGTCAGAGGGGAACGAGCGCCAGCCGTTGTAGGACTGCGAATTACCAAGTCAAATACATACGTAGGAAGCGCATTCGTAGGATCGTGGTGGATTAAAGTGTC